GTCCCCGCCGGCCTCACAGGCCCAAGGCGCAGCCTCCCCCCAGCAGGGCCTCCGCAGGGCTGCCCTTATCTTCTGGTGGGGGTGGTACGGGGGTTTTGTTGTTGTTATTGTTATTATTATTGTTGTTGTTGTTTCTTTTCCCCTTTCTCCTGCCTTTCAAACGGGGACAAGACAAGCCCCTCCGCGCCGGGGCAGGAGTTCCCTGCCCTTCTCCCACCTCACCTACCCCCACCGCCTACGGGACTGCCAAAATCCACCTCCCGTGGTCGGGGGAGAATTGGGCGGGATTGACGAGCCCGGGAGGTTTTCTGGCCTTGAAGGACTTTCTCTTTTGCCTTGCCCAGTATATGGGGAATTGTAACAGTTCTATAGTTTGCAGTGGGGCGGGGACAATACGTGCCTAAGGAGGTGGCCTGTATGAGAAATGACATGGAAAAGGGGATGGATTGTGTTCAACATCGTTTGCGTAGGTTAAATATGTAGTGTGTACAGCTTAGCTGAGTTAATATTGCTCTAGGACCTTAACTCTTGCAAACTCGAGAATCGGAAGGCAACGTTATAGTTGCATTAAGATTAATATTTGCTGCTTATAAGCATTTATTACAATGTAAGAGTAACGGGTCACTCATTATTACACCACAGATATGTAGCTGCTCCGCACCAGATTCGCAGTTAATATACCTAGGTATATCTCGATTAACTGCTAGAATCTGAACTCCTGTTCTATTGGGTTTAAGGAAATAAGCATCCCTGATGGTCCTCCCCCTTTTCCCTAGAAATATCTCTGTGCCTTAGAAGGCCTTGGGAAAAACCTTTTTTTCAACCCTGTATACCGCTTTGTCAGTATTGTTTGTCCTGGCTAACATAATGGTGCGTTACTGGGTTATGCCGGACAAAGTAGTAACCTACTTTTTTGTTCTGGATTTAATCCGTATTAGAAATGTTATATGCAGTGAATAAATGGGGGTTGGAACAAGGACCATGCTTGTATTGGGATGCCTTTCTTTGAGTAATGTAAACTTCCTTTTAATTGTCATGCATTTTTCTAGTAAAAGCTCTGCAAGTCTGCAATAAAAATGGCCTCCAATAAAACTACATTGGTAAGTTCATGCACACCTAAAGTATATAAGGATTTAATCGACATATTTTTCTTCAAACTTATAACTTGGCATCTTCATTTAAAAGATACATCCACATCTCCCCTCCCCAGCATTATTCTGACCAAAATTTCAGATCCAGAAAGTAAGGCTACTAGAAAGGACATTGTCTTTGGCTTTAATAAATCTGCCATTTCTAAAGAGAATTGTTGGGAAAAAAATAAATATTAAAGGACTCTGCACTATTTCATCTGTCCTACAATAGAAAACACTAAGGATTTTTTTAGCCTCCTTTCAGCACACCATGTAATTCATCATATATGTAAAAAATAAAATCCAAATTACATTCATTTAATTTTTCCCAGTGTATTTGGGGAAAGCTAACTGCCTGAGAAAAGGCAGTCTTTACAGATGAAAAATAACATTATTGGGAAGTGATGTGGCGTAGTTAAGATGCCTTTTGAAATTATTTTAAACAAATAACAGTTTCTTTGAATTTCATAGGAGCAGAGATTATCAGATGTCAACCCCTCCTGGACGGTTTTAATGATGCATTCATGGATCTCAAGTCCTGTAAAGCTGTGCTTGACATTAAAATATGGATTTCTAAGAGCAGTTGGTTGCTGGCAACCATTCGACTAGTAACTATACGTAGTTTTGTGAAAGACAGAACTGAAAAAGTGTAGCGTGAGATGCATCTGAGGTTGAGGTGGGGAAGTAAGCAAAAACGCACGTGTACAATTCAAAATTTGGATAGCAGAGCAACTGATTTATAATGCACTCAAAAGGCCTGTTTTTAACTTCACTGAAATGATTTTTGATTGACCCAGATCAAGATATATTAAGAACTTGTATTAACTGCTGGCTTAGAAGTGCAATGGAGTGCTTCCTTTATATTGTACAATAACAAACTATTTTAAAAGATTTCACCCAGGTGGATGGCTGAACTTGCTGTTAGTAATTGATTGCCCACTTTTCCCTAATTTGAGGAAGAGAAGGAGTTAGCCCTGGGAGGGGGTGCCTCAGGGAGAGGAAAGAATCTGTGAAGGCAGTATTTTTAATTTTTTGATATTGTTGTGAATTTTGATGCACAGGTCAGGAAAATCAGTTATGGTTCCCATGGGAACCATTACTAATTCTGCTTCATTATGTGTTTGCATGCAAAACCTAAATGTATTAAGGGATAGCGTAGCTCTGGAACTGTAATTCCGATTTTGTTACCTCTTACATGTTAAAACCTTTTCACTGCAGTGTCACATCAATCTTGCCCCTCAAAGAAAGAGTGATTATCCACAGACCAGTACCTGTCTTATGTGACTTCTGAATGCGGAAAGGGAGATGAGCTATAGATGAGCATTCAGGGGTAAAATGCCAATTTTAGAGCTTACAACATGCAACCCTAGAGAAGGGAGCTTCAGTGGTCTAGTGGACATTTAGTACCCTTTAACTTCAGTCAGGTACCACATTCCCTTGTGGGCCGAGATTTACATTGGTTTGTATAATCTCAGTATGTACAGGTTTTTAACAAATGTTCAGTATTTCTGCAGGCTCTGCAATCAAGTGTTATTTTAATAGGTTGGAAAGGCTCAAGAGTTTGGAAAGCAGTGCTGATGCACACAAGACCTAATTAAATCTCTAATATTTCAAACAAAAAGCAACATACTCTCAATTTTGTTATTTCTTACTGCACTTCAAGAAAAAAATACAGAACTCCCTGACATTGATTTTCTTCTGTGGAAGATTATATAGATACTTAAGTCTTAGAAAATAAAAAGAAATTGTTGCTTTGATACAGAAATCCAAAACATTTATCTTTAAGTGACAAGAATTAGTGAAGCCGAAAAGAGTACCAGAAAACAGTCTTCCATTGAATCAAAGACTTTTAGTCCAACGGAGAACACAGATGGAGATGTTCCCCGCTTGTAGCCTGCTTGCCTCATCACCAGTAATTATAATGTTATTACTATGGTATAGTGAGTCTGTATCTTTTTTTTTTTTTTCCCTTCTGCTTCTTTTTTTTTGTTTTGTTTGTTTTCCTCATCTGTGCCCCCTTCTCTTTCTCACACTTCCATTTTTTGAAAGAAGCTGCCTTCATAGAAGCGTTGGACATCTTCATGTTTTTATTTTCCTTCAATTTCAGTCTTACATTCTTTTTCCTGTGGAGGCAAAAAAAGCCAGTGTGCTTAAGTTGACACTTTTCAGTCATGAATGCTGTGGTCAAAATACACCTGGGATGTGCAGGCAGTTAAAATCTAATTGGAAATACATGCTCTATTTTAGATAATCTCTCTTCTACGCTTCCAAATCAAAACAAATGTCATATGAGATATAATCATATACAGAAACTTGCTGTTTGAAAGAGAAACTTGATACTTTACCTTCTCTTTGTTGTTTGCACCTTCAATTTATTGGTTGCTAATAGAGTAAAGCTGTTTTGGGGAGGGAGGGAAAAACTATTTATGAAAAATAAGGGGCACAAAGACAGGGGCTTTGGAAAGAAAGAATCAGCTTCAAATCTTCAGTTTACAAAAAGAAGACATTTTTTCTTGTGTCTAACATACGTGTCTTTTTTACTTTTCACCACATCAAGACAAAATTCTACAAAGTCTAAAAATTTGACAGTTTCAAAATTGCTTCGCAGTATTCTCAAACTAACCCACGTTAATTCTAGAGAAAGACCATCAAGCAAATAGAGGTGCTCTATGATTTTTGCTTGTCTGTTTTCTGTTCTATAGGAAGTGCATTAGTGAGGAATTAGTTCTGTCCACTTTGATTTAGGGTGCTGCATGTTTTAGGAGCTTAATACTGCTCCCATTAGTTTATGGCTGCCACTTTAACAATTTCCTTATAAGGTGCAGTCCAAAATGGCAAGCAAACTGCTTTTGGTCTGCTAGTGCTCCAGAAATGTGATGTGACAACATGTTAGGCTTGTTCCAACCTTTTTAAGATTACAAACAAGGAAATTCTGAAATGTGTCCTTCTATTACTATTTAATTGTGCCTTATTAAACTGGGAATGCCTTGAGGATGATGTGGATGTAATATTTATTTTAAGAACTTAAAGAATATTATTTGAAATATCAAATGTAAAATTAAAACACTTATAAAGTTTAAGTTAGCAAAATTTCATTTACGTGTTACATGCTGTACTTAAGTGTAGCTGTCTTAAATTTTTGCACCTTTGTGACATCTGTTTGAACATAAGTTCCATCGGTGCATAGCTAAGAATGAGAAGGGACTGCAGTAATGGAATGCTCCTCGCATGCATCTTGTTCAATAGTTATGGGTATTGTTGAGTATTTTGCTTATTGTAGCAATACATCATAAACTTTACTCCCATCAGCTTCTCCTTTTTTTTGGAAAAGGTAGTAACCACATTTTTTTGAGTACCACCCCTTTTCTGTTTTATGAATTTTCACAGTTCCCTTATTACTTTTCTTTACTTCTGCCTTATGCTGTTTCTTGCCCTCTGCCTTTTCACAGGCATAGAGTTAACTTTTAGAAGCTTCATAAATTTTTGAGCATGTAGCACTGAGAATTAAATTTATAAGGGGAGTAGAGGCACTGAGTGTATGCACAAAAATATTTCACCTTTTTAAAAACTGGTGTTGGGTATCTCATTAAGCAACTGAAAAAAACCCAAAACATTAACATGTCTTGCTCAGGTTACCTGACCACATGCACTAACATAAAAGGAGTCTGAGCTTCTGGCTTTAGTGTGAATAAGTACATGATTCTTTGCTGTTTACTGAGCAAAGTTGGATTTGGCCAGTGAAGTTATTATGTAAAGCAAAAGAATGAATAATGTCATTCTGAATTTCTTTTGTAGCACAAAATGGGAAAGAAACAGAATGGCAAAGGTAAAAAAGTTGAAGAGGCAGAGCCTGAAGAATTTGTTGTGGAGAAAGTCCTGGACAGACGTGTTGTAAATGGAAAGGTGGAATACTACTTGAAGTGGAAAGGATTTACAGAGTAAGGCATTACCTTTTTATTTTTTTCCTGATAGAATGCTAAATACTAACCATTTATTTGAAATAACTACACAGAGAGGGGGGTGGATGATGGGGATACATTTTAAAGAACCTCAAAGGACATCCATAAATGTGTATTCAAGTAGGGCAGTCAAGTATGAAAGTAAAATAGAAGATATGTAGCTTAGTGTTTGTGCTACATAAAATGTTCTAAAACTTTTACAAAGTCCTTAGTGATTTTTCTTTCTGTTCTTTGATTTAGCTTGTACCTATCAAGGTAAGCTAGACTGACAGTTATATATGTGGTGGAATGAATGTTACTTCTAAGTAAGAAATTTTGTAGGGATTTAAACTGTAGGCAGCTCTGAAGTGGTGAATTTGAAGCAGATAGTTTGCTTATTCACTTTTCTGAACTGCTCTCAAATTAGATGAATTTGCATAAGGAATTCTGTGGTATTGTTGCCTTCATTAGGCATACCCGAAAGGTATCTTTTGAGTCTTTTTCCCAGGTCTTAGGGAAGCACAAGAAAATCTTACAGTGGACTTAAAAAGTTGATTGTTAAAGAAGGCACATACTTGTTCCTCCTCCCTCCCTCCTGTGACACTTTCTCGCAGACTACTGGCTGAAAAAAGGTGATGTGCCTGGCATTTGAACATAAGGAATTACATATGCAGTCTTATTGTTGCATACCTCCCAAAGAGATTGCATTGCAACATTCTGCATTCTAGCACCTGAAATTTGTGTAGTGATAAGTGCGTAAATGTAAAACACAATGTGTTTAGTATTTGACGGTCTGATTGGAAGTTGTAGAAATATGTAAAAAATAATCTGTAGGCATCCTGCTTGTGCAGTAGCGCTGTGGCAGCATTTGTGCATGAGGACTTCCAATGCCGTGCTTAGTTGTTGTGGGGAACATTCATGGACTTCTTAAAATTTGAGTTAACAGAATGCACGCTCACTGGAACATTTGCAGTGCCCAGCTCTGGACATGGAAGCTTTGTTCCCTCCTGTAGTCAACTGAAGGAGGGACATAGTTCTAGGTATAGTTGGTCTCAGTGCTCGGAGGCAATTTTTGAAAGTATTCCTGCCACCCGGATCACAGGAATTAATAGAGCTGCTTATTTTGTACCTTCAGTTTAAGAAAATTGTTTTTCAATAATAGCAGAGCATACTTCTTTCAGTCATCAAATGCAGTACGTGAAGGTTACTAAAGATGGCAAGATAAGCAGCATTAGGTTTAGGAAACCTGCCTTGCATAATGAGAAAAAAATTAATTTGCTTAAGGTAAGCCATTTGGCTAGTTTTAAGTTTTTCTTCTTTTCCTAGTTTTTCATAAATGTGTGTATGTTTCAGTGCTGACAACACATGGGAACCTGAAGAAAACTTAGACTGTCCAGAGCTAATTGAAGCTTTTCTGAACTCTCAAAAAGCTGGTAAAGAAAAAACAGATGGTGCCAAAAGAAAATCTTTGTCAGATAGCGAATCTGATGATAGCAAATCAAAGAAAAAGCGCGATTCTGTAAGTAAATGTTCATGTGCCAAGCTTTGTTTTTCTTGTGTCTCTTCCCTACCTCTCTATCCCCATCCACCCAAAATCCTGTTGTGACTTTGAGAATGAGACCAAACATGGGTTTAAAACTGTCAAAATCGCACAGCATCTGGAACCGTGGTTTGAAAAGGGCAATTGTTCATGGTGGTTAATGAGGCTGTCCAAATGGCAGGTAAAAGATGATTGATTGACATAATGAATAAAGTTCTTGCATTGTCCCATGATGCTTACTGAATAATTGAAAGTAAGATTGGTTAAGAGTTATTAATGAATAATACTAAGTGGTCAGTTTGTATTGGAGCAAAAGGTTCATGAATGGAACAAAGATGAAGTTCTGTTTTGGCTTTTGTCTTGAGAATATGATTTTGAATAGGTGCATGACAAGATGCCAGGATGTGAAGACCAGGCAGTTACTTAGACTAGGACCAGACATGATGGTGGAGGGGGAGTAGAAAGGGTGAATGAAGAAAGCGTACATTTTCTTAAAGATCTGGGTTTCTCTTACAATTGAATGAATGAACAACATGACAAATGTAGTGCTGATAACTACAAAATAGTTCACATATAATAACGTGTTCAGTAGTTCACATCTTTCTCTGTAAACTTTCAAACTCACATTTTGAAACAAAACTGGTTGGCAACGGCAGTGGTTTACTGAAGACAGCTGTTGGATGTGTAGTTACTGTCAAATAGTTGATGAATAATACAAAGAATATTTTAGTTTCTGTGTAAAATTCATTGTGTGGCTCAGTCTGGTAACGAAGTGGCCACTGTCTCAGAAAGGATACTGTGAACCTAGAGGAGCTAATACAGGAAATAGTTGTGATATTCCTTACCACCAGTGCAATCTCAGTAAGCCAAGAAGGGTTGAGGTATTCCCCGAGGGTGCAGTTTCACAGTTGGCTTAAGCCAACCCAAGCCTGTTGTTTTGCTGAAAAGGATATGTTTTTCCCACTTCCAGGAGTGCATTTTTGCTTTGCCACTTTTGTTACTTTTACTGACCATGCACGTTTGTTTATTTACTATAAGGGGGTTTAGATCACTTGTTTCATCTATTGAGTTTTCAGAAATAAATGCTAGAAACATTGATGTAAAATTCCTTCATTGTTACTCTGCATCTAAATGACTTTGCCTGAAGATCAGTTATGAAAGAATAAAATTAATGTCATCTTCAGGCAATTATATGTAATTATAGCTTTTATAATTATGTAAGGCTATATTTTTTGTTCTGATATATATACACACACAGGAATGTGTATATCTAGCTCTAATGCCAAAAAAGAATTTTATCTTAAACTAGATAACAATCTTCTAACTTAATCAATAGGTTGATAAACCAAGAGGGTTTGCAAGGGGTCTTGATCCTGAGCGGATAATCGGGGCTACGGATAGCAGTGGAGAGCTTATGTTCCTCATGAAATGGTAAGTCTTACATGCATAGTTCTTGTCCATATTAAGGCAGGGCAGGCAGTTGCATTTAGGCTAATGAGGCAACGTCATTTCAGGAGTAAGACAACTGGTAATGTCCTTATTAACATTGTATTCTTAGAAAGACAAAGCTTGTATAATCAATTAGTACTTATTCTCTCTTCCTTCCAAAACCAAAATAACTTTAGGTTCTATTGGTTTTACAGAAGTAGAAATTTGGAAGGTAAATTCTGATAAGATATGGAAAAATTGGCATTTGTATGGAAAAGCTGGTTCTCGGTTGTGTTCTTGCTGAGGGAACGGCAGGCAGAACTCCGGCTTTACATGTTTCAATAAGCAGAAGCCAGCTGCTCGATAGCCAACCTTTTAACCAACTGTACTGCCAGCTGTTCTGCATGCAACCAAGTGGATAGAGAATCGGAATGAAGTAGTGTAGGAGGCTGAAGTTGAGATGAAGAACAAACAATATGAAAAAGCTGAAAAAGTTGTGGTGGTTCAGCCTGGAGAAGAGAACGCTCCAGGGAGACCTTATAGCAGCCTTCCAGTACTTAAAGGGGGGGCTACAGGAAAGATGGGGAGGGACTCTTTATCAGGGAGTGTAGCGATAGGACGAGGGATAGCGGTTTTAAACTGAAAGAGGGTAGATGTAGGTTAGATATTAAGAAGAAATTCTGTACTCTGGGCGGTGAGACACTGGAACAGGTTGCCGAGGGCAGCTGTGGGTGCCCCATCTCTTGAAGTGTTCGAGGCCAGGTTCAGTGGGGCTTTGAGCAACCTGGTCCAGTGGAAAGTGTCCCTGCCCTTGCCAGGGGGGTTGGAACTAGATGATCTTCAAGGTCCGTTCCAACCCGAACCATTCTATGATTCTGTGAAGGAGAGGTTTATCGTTACAGGCTAGTGAGAGGGCAGAATGATGGGGGGAGTTTGTGTTGTTGGCAGGGTAGGGGGAGACCAGCTTCATTGGCTACAGTGTTGACGCAAGACTTCTTGTCTGTCCCCAGTGAACAAGTAGGATAAAATTAATATTTTTTTTTTCCAGTGTTAAGAATACAAGAGATTGAATTAACATTTTCTGGGGGTCAGATTTCTTACGGTGGTGGGATGAGAAGAGTGATAGTTTTCCACAGCCTTTGAAAAGGGTATAATTTTCTGAAAGGAGTCAAACTGAGTGGTCTCTAGAGAAATGATTTGTCATGTGATGTGCCTGGACTGCTGAAGATGAGTGCTTTGGAAGATCTGTCTCCCTTCTGCCTTTTCGAGGTCTCTATAAATTTTATGTGAAACTTAGAAGAGTTGCAAAATACAGATCGTGACTATTTGCATTTCTGTAGTGATAATTGACAAAATCAAACATAACAGAACTGTACTAAAAGAACCTTTTTTGTTTAGTTGCAGTTGATTAGTTTTTCATAATTGATTGTAGGCAACAAACATAAATATGAATATGTGTGCACAAAACTGAGTTGTAAAGGCAGCGTACACTTTAAAATGGAATCTGAAGCATGTCAGACTAGAAGCTTTTTTTATTACCCCAAGACAGCCTCAAGAATAGAAGTACAAAATACAGCAAGTTACTTGCATAAACAGTAAATATAATTTTGATGTAAATACCATCTCTTAAGACTACTGCTACTGATTTTTAAAAGTCTCACTTTGAAGTTTTAATTATGCTTTAAAAGACAAAATTAGCAAAGTTTTACTTCTTTCATTACATACTGCAATAGGTAACTGTATAAATGGTTCCCTTTGAATAGTATTTTCCTTTCAAACAGAAGAAAACCCAAAACACCCATGTAAAGGGAAGGAAGATACAGCTATGAAACCTTGCCATTAGCATGGAAATTCTTGGTAGCTATAGTGAAAGGTATACCAAAACCTGATTTCTAGCTGACGTTCTTTTCAGAATTTATGACCTTTCAAGAGCTGCTAAATTTACTGAATTAATGATTATGCGTTTTTCTTAAATCCCACTCTCTTCTACATCAGGAAAGACTCTGATGAGGCAGATCTGGTGCTGGCCAAAGAAGCTAACGTGAAGTGTCCTCAGATCGTAATCGCTTTTTATGAAGAGCGACTAACTTGGCATTCATGCCCAGAAGATGAAGCACAATAATTGTTTGCATTGCTTTTTTATATATATGAATATTAAAACCTGAAATTTGATTTATTAGCAATGTGAGAAGCATACATTCTAACAAGAATCAAATTTGATATTTTTTTGAAGTAGTATGTTTTGCATCAACAGCAAGTAAATAAAAGCTTTCTGCAACTTGTTTCATTTATCACAAGAGAGCATTTGATACTACTACTTCCTCCATATTAGGTAAAAGCTTTTATAAAACATTCATAAACTTCCATAGTTATTACAGAATCATAATGAATGTCTAAACAAACTCACAGATGTTTTGTAGTCTTCTATACTATTGATGTGCATGTATCTTCTTTACCCAAACCTAGCCCTTTAAACCTGTAGAATCATTCTTTTTAGTATTTGGGATCACTTGGTCACAAGAAGACCAGGTGAAAACTAACTTTGTAGTAATTTGAATGTTATCAGACTGTATATTGTTTACTTTATTGTAAATACTGGTGAACAGTGGTCAATAAAATAGTTTTATATTCTTCCTTTATACTGATAGGCTGTGACTCTTTTGAAGCGGTATGATATTTCTGAACTTTTGATATGTTAAGCTCTCAATTCGTAATATATTTAACTGTAAGTTGTTTTTTGGGGTAGATTGATTCGTTAATATTACCCTGTTGCTACTCTGTAATCACAATATCAGACAAATACCAGGCTTCGATTCTTTGTATTTTTTCAGTAAACAATGCCTGAGGCATAGTTTTTCTCAGTCAGGAAGGGCCAGTGAAATGAATGTGCTTTGGGTACTTGTTTAAGTCACACCCTACTGCCTAGGTATGTTTGCAGGTATACTAGGAAATATTTGACACGTGTTGACAGTACTAGCCTTTGCTTTAATTTCAGGTGTTAATATAAGGCTATAGTGTAACTGCTGGTGGTTGAGATGGAATTATAGCTTTGCCTTTGAAGTGGAATATTTTAATGACAATACTTTAGTCATATACTTTAAACAAAAGACACTGTTTCTATTTCAGATTGAATTTTAAAATGAGTCCTATAATCAGCTGCTTGGAGAAAGCCTTCAGAAGGGCAGAAGTAAGGGGTGGGAAACTCAGGAGGAGGAAAGTTGCCTTTGTCCATTCTTCAATTGCCATTCCTCTTTTCACTTGCTTTCATCTACACACCTTCTTTTCTGACTACAATGGTGTAGTTTTCCCTGAGCTGTGCCTCTCTATATGTCAATGGCCAAGCTTGTTTCAGAATTCCCCTTAATTTAGAATTTTGATGAAAAAAAATAATCCTGTAATATGCCACTGTCAGAGTCCTAGGTGAGACAGTTAAGATTGCCCAGCTATGTTTTCTTAGAAGGTTAAAAAAAGATGGGTGTTCCTGGAAACTCATACGGTATGCTGAGGAATTCAGCCTGTCATTCCTTACTGTTTCACAAATCATTACTACAACTATTTGTCCTCACATAGTTTCAAAAGCCATTTACACTGTGACTCAGAACTTGTCATTGTAAAACAATTATTGTTAAACACTGGGATGGCTAAACTGATGCTGAATTACCTTTTTACGGGTAACCGCTTTGTCTTGTCAAGGTTTTTTATTACTGGGTTTGGGGAAAATTCAGTCACCATCTGTTTGTGGCTCTAGGAAAACTCAGATATCCCTGTTAGTGTGGGGGTTTCCTTGCAACAGGTAACGATAATTTCAGAGCTTAGCTAGTTTCTCTTGCTGGTTCTTAGACAAATTACCCTGAATTTGTCATATACATAAGTCTTTTACCGAGTTCATGTCTTATTTCTTTGGGGCCTATAATAGTAATATTTATACACCTGTAGGATTCTGAAATCCTTGTGCTTTTTTTAACCTAGTAGCGTGAGAAATACGTGGGCTAAACAAGAATTCCAAAGCAGCATGTGTTCTGCCTGCTTCTTCAGTGTGGAGTGCTTTTTAAAGAGTCTTAAAACTTTTATTCTACAGTTTGTGTTTTATTGTCTGAAACTTTGCAGTTTCTATACTTTGTTTCAAGTGTGGATATCTAGTTTACATGAAGTTGCTGATTTGAAGCGATACAGGTTAAACAGTTGATTTAAATTATCAGTATTGTAAGTGGTAGATATAGAGATTTTTGTTGAAAGGTTGATTCTCCTCAATTTGTAACCCATAAAATACAGATTTGCAACTAGATACAGCTTTTACATTGTATTTGGTTCTTCCTTCTGACTATCCATAAAAGCGCACTGTATTCACATTTAAACAACTTTACAGCTTGTTAGACAATTATTTAGATTTCTAATTTTTTTACATTATGACAGTAGAAATGCTGACTGGTATTTGTTTTCCTTTTTTTTTTTTTTCACCTTGTGTTAAACTGCATTTTGATAGTAATGAAATGCAACACTTTACAAGTTATGTAAAATTATACTGAATGTGCTGCATACATATGCAAAAAGTTAACAAATGTTATTAATTTAAAATTAACTGATGAAATAAATGAGATATCTTCTGTAGTTAGTGAGTTGTGCGGAGGTTTCTGGTCATTGTCCTTTCTTATACCAAAACAATAGGTTTCAGGCTGTCATTTCATGATCGCTCTGTTTTGATGCTGCTGTCCTCAAAAACCCCCAAAACAAAAAACAAAAAACCCAAACCCCAAACAGTTGTGCTTGCTCCAATACTACTCCTTACCCCAGCTAAAGAAAATACTCTTGAGGTAAACGTAATCAGGCAGTGCTGGGTTTTGCAAAATTCATATCATGGTCAGTTAGGGCATCATCTTCTCACAGCCTGGTTCTTCTTTGCTAGGAGAGAAAAAACTACCGATTTTTCATTAGTATTGAATTAATTGCAAATTAATTAAAGAGCAATTGCTGTTAAATGGAATAAAACAAATAGTCTTAGCACCTGCAAAAAAAGCTGTCAGCATTGCATGTGAATTTTATCAATTCAGCACGAATGGGTTCTACATGCTTTGTGGTAATTCTAGATTTATGGTCTGGTTCTCTTTAAAACTGCTTGACAGTTTCCTAACGATAGATTATAGTACATTTAGGACTCAACATATGTTGCCATCATTTCAAATGTGACTAGAAGTACATTTGTCCTTTAACTGCAAATTATTATTTATTTACTCACCTGAACTAGGCTCTTGAACTATGAAAGATTGTCCTCCTTTCCTGTTCTAAGAGCTTTCTCCACCATCAGTGTTTTCTTTCCTGTTGGTATCCTCCTCTTTGTGTTTGGAATTTCTTCTCAAAATGCCACCTTTTATTCAACTTCTGAATTTAGTTGCTTAGGTTAAGTCACGTCTGTTCTGCTGACAGAGGCCTCTAAACTTGGACTAGCAGCCAAGCCAGATGCCCCCAAATTTGTTTCTGAGGTGCCTCCCTGAAAATTAAAAGTCTTACTCCACCAACTTACTGCTCCTTACAAGCTGAAGTGCAATACCATGGAAATAACAGCTGTATGGTTCCTGGGCCAAAAGGTTGCAGGGTCAAACAGAGCCACGTTTTTCTCTGCAGATTTATGAAGCTGTGTCTCCACCAGCTCAAGGAGTTGTGCTTTGTTTTGCAGAGCGAATGTGCCGACTAGCTGTTGTGGGGTTTATCTGTCTCAGGTGTATACTCTTCACCAGCAGTTTCCTCCTGATAGTGTTTTGCTGTTCTCCCAGCCTTTAGTTGTGACAACACTTGAGAGGGTGCACAGTGGCTGAGGTAGAAGTGTTTTGGTGATACCTTCATCTCAGCAGGACCTCAAAAGATCTGCAGAACCTTTGAGCTTTGCTCCCGCACCTTCCTGTTGGGACAATCCCAGCTGTCAGCTTGGGTAACTTTAGATCCTTTTGAAGTTCAAATGGAAAATTTCCATCTCCCAAAATCCCTTTTAGGGACACCCATCACAGTACTCTGAGCTCTCATTTGAAATAGGTAGATGGTTTAAGAAAAAAAAAAAAAAAAATTACGCCAAGCAAAATTGAAGCACATGTCCCAGAGAAATAGCCTGCAATTGATCCACCCCCATGCAAGCAGGAATGGTGCTTTTCTTCCTTGTACAGTGCTGTGGGGTTTATTAACATGGTGAGAGAATTGGATATGATTCCCAGGGCTCCAGATGGCACCTGCCAGATGGGAGCTCATATTCTTACGTCTAAAGATGCTGGGCATTGATGGCATGGTGTTTGAGAATGCAGTAACCTTTTGTGATGGATTTTCTTACAAGATAATGGTTTCAGTAAGTGGTCAGGTATCCCCATTTGTTGCCGTGTTTGCAAAATGATTTTAATCTGTCAAAAAGATAGCCCTTCTGGGTATGGTGTTGGATGGCAGGGTTTGCTTTGTGTCCTTGGTTGAATGTATGAATCCCTCAGATTTGCTAGAGCAGCGGAGGCAACAGTGGCTTCTACATCTGTTTCCTCCTTCCCCAGAATGATTTTCTTATTCAGGTGCACTGCTCTGCAGAGTTCCCATTTGAAACCTCTGTGGAACACCACTTGTGACCGGCCGCCAACTGGATTTAGCTTCATTCACGACAACTCTTTTGAGTCTGGCCATCCAGCCAGTTTTTTACCCAGCAAAGCGTATGCGCATCCAAACCATGAGCAGCCAGTCTCTCCAGGAGAATGCTGTGGGAAACGGTGTCAAAGGCTTTACTAAAGTCCAGGTAAACAACATCCACAGCCTTTCCATCATCCACAAAGCGGGTCACCTTGTCATAGAAGGAGATCAGGTTTATCAAGCAGGACCTGTCTTTCTGAAACCCATGCTGACTGGGCCTGATTGCGTGGTTGTCCTGCATCTCCTGCATGTTGGCGTTCAAGATGAGCTGTTCCATAACCTTCCCTGGTACTGAGGTCAGACTGACAGGCCTGCAGTTCCCCGGATCCTCTTTCTGGCCCTTCTTGTGGATGGGCGTCACGTTTGCTAACCTCCAGTCAACTGGGACCTCCCTGGTTAGCCAGGACTGCTGATAAATGATGGAAAGTGGCTTGGTGAGTGCTTCCGCCAGCTGCCTCAGTACTCTTGGGTGGATCTCATCCAGCCCCATAGACTTGTGTGTGTCCAAGTGATGTAGCAGGTCACTAACCATTTCCCCTTGGATTATGGGGGCCTCATTCTGCTCCCCACCCCGATCTTGCAGCTAAGCAGGCTGGGTACCCCAAGAACAATTGGTCTATTAAAGACTGAGGCAAAGAAGGCATTAAGCACCTCAGCCTTTTCCTCATCCTTGGTCACTATATTTGCCCCTGCATCCAATACAGGATGGAGATCCTCCTTAGCCCTCCCTTTGTTGTTAATGTATTTATAGAAACATCTTTTGTTGTCTTTTATGGCAGTAGCCGAATTAAGTTCTCGCTGGGCTTTGGCCTTTCTAATTTTCTCCCTGCATTGCCTCACAGCATCCTTGTAGTCCACCTGAGTTGCCTGCCCCTTCTTCCAAAGGCCATAAACTCTCCTTTTTTTTTTCCCTGAGCTCCAGCCCAAGCTTTCTGTTCAACCGGGCCGGTCTTCTTCCCCACCAGTCCGTGTTTCAGCATGTAGGGACAG